TTGTCGAAACCATACTGAATTTCACCAGAGAAACACACACACACACACACACACACACACACACACACACACACACACACACACACACACACAGAGTATGCACAGTATGCAAATGGCTTACAAACAGCCATCATAATTGGTCATACAATGAAACAGGACAAATCAAGAATTGACAATGACTAATTAATATTGTGCTAAACACAGTCAAGAGTCAGTAAGCTACATCAGTGTCTACTGTTTACTATCATAGCCAAGTGGCTAACAAAGGTAAACAGACGTTTTCACTGTCCCTACTAATTAATGTTACTTGTTGTATTTCTGTTGTGGCCAGTGCGATCCTCTCTGCTGTTGCATGCTGGGGCAGCAGGTTGAGGGTCACAGATGCCAAAAGGCTAAATTAACTGATCCATAAGGCCAGTTATGTTGTGGGGATGGAGCTGGACTTTGTTAGGGTGGTATCTGAGAGGCGATGTTGTTCAAGATAAAGACAATCATGGATAACACCTCCCACCCACTCCATGACATGCTGGCTAGTCAGAGGAGCGCGCTCAGTGAGAGACTGAGATTACCCACAATGCACCACTGACCGACACAGGAAATCATTCCTGCCTGTGGCCATCTCCCTGTACGACTGGACTGTAGGTAGCGGAGATGACAATAAAGTTTACTTTGACTTCAGCAGCGCGCAGGCGTACCGAGGGCTCTCGCGCTCACTTTTCACGTACAGAATTTTGAAAAACATTGGTGCAAATTATAAGTCTGTATCATGATGTCTGGTGTTTTCGTGTCTGATGGTTTGTTTTTATTTTGTTTTATTTTGCGAGTTGTTTAATAGATGCTGCTCCAGCCAGCCAGAGATAAATGCAGCTAATAAAATGCAGCACTGGGAGGTGTGAGCACTTCTGCTAAAGCAGAAGTTTTGCTGAGCGATCAGCTGTGTGTTATCACAATGCCAGGGAGGAAAGACATCAGCGGTGATGTTAAAGAAGTAATTGTTGCTGCTCGTCTATCTGTGAAAAGCTAAAAGGTCATTTCCAAACAGTCTGAAGTTCATCAACGTACAGTGAAGGGGATTATTCACAGGTGGAAAACAAGACAGCTGCCACTCCTTTCTTGGTGTGGATGTCCCAGAAAATTCACCCCAGGGCCAGCTTGTGTAATGTTTAAAAAAAAAAAGGGTGGGGGGGCAAGCGATCTCATTCTTGGCAGGCCTTAGTTAGCATGTTAAATGTGAAAACTTCTGACATTACAACAAAAGACTGAACAGGTTTGTAAAGGTTGTCAAGAGAAAGCTTGAGCACCTCAGATGAACCTTTCAGTCACTGCGCTGACCATGAGCTCTTCTGTGCACCAAAGTATTCTAGAGTCAAACCCAAGTCCATCTCACGTTTGCTTGAAACTAGGTTATGACAATGAAAGCAAGCACACCAGCTGGAGAATAAGGTGTTGTCCCAGTTAAAGACCAGGCTTCGAGCAGGTTGAAATGCTGTGGTGGGGCCTTATGTGAGCTGTTCAGGAACAAATGCCCCCAAATATTTTGTGAACTGAAGTAACGTTGAGTAGAAAAACGTCCAGAATTCCCCCACAATGAAGGCACACAGAAACAAGTACTTCAAGTTATTGCTCTAATAAAACCTTTCTTTTTCACAAGATCGTGTGCACCTCAGAGGGCCGACACATGAAACATGGGGACCACAGTTAGGTCTGGGAATCTTCTTTTGCCTTACATTTCCCTACAAAAATAGCAACGACTGCAAAGGCAAAGATTTCTTTAAAAAAACAAAGAAGAATCAACACAGTGAGTCTGCAGACTGTCTGTTTGTTTAGTTACCCTGGTAATCCACGATTACCTGCTCCAGCTCAGAAGGGAAAGACTCTCAAGTAACAAATATACATTTGCTGAAGAAACGTGACTTTACTTTGACGTCTCATTAGTTGTGGATCCTCCACCTTTATGCAATTTTAGGAATAATAAAAAGGGCGTAAATCTTTAACTTCTTGTACAAAATAATCAGACACTACTATTTTACAGTATTCCTACAAACGAGTATATGACTTCATCGTGTTATATCGATGTAACATTTATACAGTTTATTTGGTATTAAAATACAAAAAGAGGCAAAGAACTGGATTTAACTTGTATGTCTCATAAACCAGTTTATTGATTGGTGTTTGTTTCAGTTCAATTAAATGTCATTAAAACAACTTGAAAAATGAAACTGTGTTTCAGAGCCCGCACAGCCACAAAAATAACAAATCAGTATCTCGAATATCCTCATCTCAGTCCGTTTATCATCACTGCCTCTTTCATCTGGCCCCGTTCTCATTGCCTGCATCTTCCATTAATTCCTCCACATCACGTCATCCTCTGTGACTTCTTGTTTTAGAGGGTGACTCCTTAAGAAAAGTAGACCTCTGCATCGACATGTCAGGACACGTTTATCATACCAGTCTTAGTTTCTTCTTTTTATTTTACAGGCACATTTAAAACCCCCTCTTCCTCTGGACCTGTGTGTAACTGTATCCCTCAGGCTTCTCTTTTTGTCTCCCACTGTGCGTTATGTCTGACGTGCCAAAGCTCGTATTTAGCAGGTTTGATGTTACAGTGGGAATGTTTTCTGCAATGAGACAGTAACACCCAGGTCATCTCCAGTTTCCTGCACCGCTTGTCTAGCGGTACAACTAGCATAACTTAGTGATAGTGGAGCAACCGCACGGGCTTTCTGTGAACTCGGAGCACACTCCCTTTATGCTCAGCCAAGACAGCTACAGTTAAGCTGTGCTTCAGGTTCCACGCGCGACCTTGAGCTATCATCTGGAGCCATGCAGACATAACAGAGGAAACAGGACAGCGCTCTCAGCTCTCAGCTCTGCTACTGCCCATGAGCGTGTTTTTGACCATACAGGGTCATACATGGTGCCCATAAACATTACAGATGCCAAAAAACACGAGAAACTACAAATGTTGACTTGTAGACAAAATGAGTCATAAATCATCAGAGGGGTGGAAGCCGTCAGCCGCCAAACAGAGTGTACGTTAGACTGTGAGAGTAGACTAAATAAGGCATGTTTGGTTTAACCATCGCAGACTCAAGTGGACCACAGCATGGCTTAAGAAGATAAAAGGCGGCCGATCTGTACACAGCAGGATGGGACAAAGTGGCAAAAGCCCAAAGCCACAACACACCATTAAGTTTTGTGTGGATCTGAATCTATTAAACCTCAGCTAACACAAAACGGACTCGCGGTCAAAACCATGCCGACATCATCAATCCTCTCAGTCCACACTTTGTTAGCCTGAAGCGAAGCATTAAGGCAAGTTTTTGCTGTTGGCGTGCTAAACAGATGCTGGAAGCTGGACCGTGCTGTAACTACATACAAGCACTGCTCACAGCTGCTTTTTTCCAAGAGGGCTGTGCTGGTGCCAGTCCCTGAAAACTCATACCACAAGTACAAGAACAAATTATTACACGATTCTTCCCTCCGTTCACATAACGTACGGAGGGCGATCGTGGCTTAAGAGTTGGGAGTTCGCCGACAGTCTCGGTCGTTGTGTCCTTGGGCAAGACACTTCACCCGTTGCCTACTGGTGGTGGTCAGAGGGCCCGGTGGCGCCAGTGTCCGGCAGCCTC